TAAGTTATATTAATATTATATAATTATAATACTTTCTAATTTTATTTTAATTTATTTAATAAAATTTAATATATATATAAAATATAATAAATATATTAATTGTAGTTTTAAGGTATTATTATAATACTTTTTTATATATGCTACAAAATTAGAAAGAATAAATATGAAATATTTAAAGTATTTAAAGTATAAGAATATAATATGAGAAGAAGTATTTATATAATTATTATATTATTTACTTATTTTAAAATTAACTACAATTAAGTTATATAAAATCTAAAGATTTTGTAAATTGTTTAAATGGTAATAGATACTATTTAGTAAAATTGTATTAAAATCTTATTAAAAAGATTTGCAAAACTTAATATAAGATAAATTATATTAAAATATATAAAAATAGTAAAACTATATTAAATCTTAATAAAAATAACAAAATTAAAGATTAGACTTTTACCAAATCTAAAATGTGTTTAGGCAAACAATCTTAACTGAAACTAATTTTATATATGAATAAAATATAAAAAAAAGTATTATTACACTTTACTCATAATTTTATTACTTTCATCTTTAATAATACAATCAGATTTAAATCAAAATTTAATGTTTAAAATATTAATATATTTATTAAAAACTCCAAATAAATATAATTTATATAAAATTAGTGCTTAAGGAACTATTTAAGATATTTTAAAAAGAAAAGAGGTAATATATTTGAAACTGTAAATGCTTGAATTAAATCTTCTATTATTTCTCTTTTAGAATTAGTAAGAAGTAAAGTTATTTTTAAAGCTTATTGATTATTTTCATAAATTCTTTTTCATATCAGATTTTTTTTTACAATAAGCATCTTACAATTTAATTTATGTTTTATTCTACAAAAAAATCACAATAATTGCAAAATAAAAATTATCAATATAAAAATATCAGGAATTTACTTTAATTCATATATAAATTGTTACTATTTTATATTTTTTAAAAGACATTTAAATCTTAATACAAGATCATATATTTCCTTTTAAAATGTTTTTTAGCAAAAAAAAAATGAAAATACATATTTTCAGAAGGAATATATTAAATATGAAATAAAATCATAATGTAAAATTTCATTTTCTATAACGTTTCATAGAACATTTGCATTTATCACTTAATTTGTGAGATATATGATATTATATAAAATGCCAAATATTATTATCCTTGATGAAGGAACAAAAAGTGACATCAACGAAGTGATATAAATGTTATATTCCAAGTTGCGATCTGTTCCAACTTTAAATTAGGCTGATCCATATTGCCAAAATTGAAATTTCAATTTCGAACAGTCCAAACTTGAAATTCAAACTAGGCATCTTTAATTTAATGTTTGAACTTAGCTACAATAAATCACGTGTATAAATTTTGGTAGCTTTGATCTTTAACACATTGTGATATCCCAAGTCGTCTATTGCCTAATTTTAAATTGGACAATATCCAACTTAAGGCACTGTATTTCCAGTTTCCAATTTCCTTAATTCTAATTAGGGCACATAGCTTAATTTCCAATTTGCCTCAACTTTAAATTGGTGCAATGGTCAACTTGGGCCTCATGTCTCAATTTCCAATTTACCTCAATTTTAAATTTGGAAAAGGTCAACTTGGGGTACCGCATGTCTCAATTTCAAAGTGTCACCAATTTTAAATTGAAGCAATGGTCAACTTGGGGCACCGCTTGTCTCAAATTCTAATTTATCTCAATTTTAAATTGGGACAATAAATCGCATTGCCCAAATTTGAAATTTCAAATTGGAGTGGCAGATCCTTAACTTGAGACACGACATGTCAAAAAATCTAAAAGCAGGACGTTTGTTCTAATAAAACATTCCAACTATTAAATTTATGTTGAGGATTGCATGCGTTTTAACATATCTTCAATAAAGCAAGAAAGAAAGCATCATTCCAATATTGACTTGGCAATCCCCATATGCATGCAATTGAATCATTTTTTTTAATTAAAAAAAAAAAAGACTTTATTTAATTAGAATACTGAAAGTTATTATCATCATTGTCTAAAAAATTTTTTAACAAAATCTGTTGTTATTCCAAAAACGATAGTCATAATAAAATCTTTTATTATTAAATTTATTTCTTTCGTGATTAAAATCTTCAGAGTGATTTATTATCTTCTAAATTTTCACATTAATGGGGCCTTAAACCAGATTTTAAAAGGTTTATTAGATATTTCAATATAAAATTGTATTGAATTAATATAGAAGTGTATGAATTGCAGCATGATTACAAGCTAAACCTCAAAAAGTTTATCAATGTTTCAAATTCTATAATGAAATTAAATCTTCTAAAGTATTAACAAAACAAATTGTTTGTTCCGTTATTTTTATTTTATTTTATTTTTTTTGGTAGGTGTTTATTTGCTTTCCGCGTTATAAAATCTTTAATTAACCATAGAATTTAAAGAGAAAAAATTTTCTTTTTCATCGATTTTTTATTATTTCATGAGATGAGATAAATTGGACTGCGGCAAATTGCGGAACAAGAGTCAATGCATTTATTATAGCAATTAGAATACTCCAAAAATGAAAAAAAGCATACTAATTAATATTAATTCCCATCAGAAAAATAGTTATTCCCCGTTCAATAACATACAATTAATTCCGGCTGGCATTATAAATTGCTATTAATTAATAATTTGTTACACAGAAAAAAATTAGGTCAAAAAGGTAATTAACGCCTTTTAAAACTCATTCTTGTGTTAAAGGGCGTTGCCTTTCCCTCCAAAATTAGATTATATCTTTATTTCGGAAATGGGTCACGAAATATTTATCTTAGAACAAGAAATCGATGTTATCGACAAACCTCATAACGGTAGTCCAATTACTATGATGGAAATATCACCAAATGCAAAATATATTATTACTTATAGTGAAAAAGACAAAACAATTGTCGGGTGGAACGTTGATGATGAGGAAGGTCAACTTAGACCTGATTGCACCATTAAATCCGATAAAATTTTTCGATTCAATAAAACTGAGGAAATCGATGAGGAAGATGAAAAAAAAATATTTCACATGTGTGTCTCTGATGAGAAGAAGCTAGTGCTTAGTTATGTTGAATATGGTTCACATATTGAAGGGATTGGAAGTAAGGATATACATGAATACTTGAGTAAGTGTAATAAAACTTGTTTATTTGAAATCAAATATGTATATTGTAATTAGTAAAAAATTATCATGACAAATTTTTTTAGAAATAATTGATATGAAGAATCAAAATCAAGAAATGGAGTTATATTTTAAATTTATAATTGATCGATTTTATTGTAACTTTAATTCAAAAGGGGAATTCATTTTATATAATATAATTGAAAAATCATTGTCTATCCCTATGTTTGGAAATGACAAGAAAAAATCGTATAATCGTACAAGTATTATTTGGATTTATTCAACACAAACTAAAAAGTGGAAGTGTCAAGAGATTTATGAGGTACCTCAAGGAGTGGAGTTGATAAACATATCACAACATGATAAGATTCGACTGAGTTTAAATAATAATATATATGAACGGAGCATTAGTGACGATACAACTATGTCAAAATTATCAAAAAATTTATGCGAGGTAATTATAAATTTTTAAGATATATTATATTTATTGTAATTCAAACTAATATCTATTCGATAAATCAACAGATTAAATCGAAAGACATTAAAATGTCTAGTAATGAAGGGTTTATTTATCTGAAAATAAACGATGAAATTACAGTTTATTCAACTGAACCGGAGACTCCTATTGCGTCATTTGATTTAAAAGTTGAAAATCATGGTAAATATTTTATTTTAAATAATTTTTTTTTTGTAAACATCAAAATAATTATTAAAGTAAATTATTTAGATAAAATTTATGAATTTCTGAAGCAACATAATGGCCTACATTGTTTATTACTTTCTTTATTTGATTATAATTCAATTCACAGAATCAAAGATTCTATTATTAAACGCTGTCAGAATCTTTGCTCGGATCACTCAATTGAGATTTTAACAAGCCTTCCAAGTCTATTTTATGATTACCAATCAAAAAGATATATATTTGTAATAATAGACGGATATGTATGGAAAATTAACTTTGACGAGCTTGAATTTGATGAGCTAGAATTAGTATCAAAGGAATTCGAAGCCAATGATGTTACAGAAAGTTGGAATGCATACTTTGGAAAAGAAAACGACAACAATGAATACGAAGATCCATTCATTCCATGCGAGAACATTAATAGATCAAAATTATTTCGTAAAGCAACCGTTAAATACGAATCAAAGGATATTAAATTGGAAATTTATACTAATATTCGAATGACTGGATTTATTGGATTACGCGTTTTCGAAAATGATAATGTAATTGAAAGAATTAAAAAAACAAAATGCAAAAAAACGATAGATATATACAAAGTCAAGATATTTAATAGTAAAGAGATTATAATACTAACAAGTATTGGCATTTTTATTTTTCATTTAAATCAAGATGATTTGATTTTAAATCATTTTCTCAATATTTGTTTGAGCGATGTTGAGCTCAAATTCTTGGTTGATGAAACCTTTTGGGTTTCACATGAAGAAACTGATCGATACAATTTTTTAAAATATAGTGTCGAACTCATAACTGCAATTAGGGAACGTGATATAGAATCCGTTGATGGCATTTATAAGAAATGCCTCGATTATTTTAAACGAGATTTAGTAAACAACAAGGCGTTTTTAAGCATCATCACAAATTCGATATCCTTATTGAATCGATATTATCCTGAATATATCATAAAATATTCATCGGATACAAACATGATAATAGATTCACTTGATTATAACATAGAACGGCTTAATATTTCACATCTTTATCCTTTTGAAGGTATTAAATTAGTTAATTTAACCCCATCTCTTGCGTGGACGAAATATAATTATCTTTTAAAAAGGATCGTTGATAAATCAAATGGAATATTACATGGAATCATGTTATTCATTTTAAGCTGCCAATACGTTCTATGTGCTTATAGTTCACCTATTTCTTTTTTAACGTTTAATATTTTAGATCGTTTTCATATCGTTAATAATATTGTTAAATATGATATGTCTGCCTATTTTTATTATAGTCTAAGTTACACTTCTTCCAAACCCACAATTACTTTTATGATACCTTACATCAAATTTGTTAGTTATCCGGAAGATTATGATTGGATTGAAGAATTATTTCATCCTCAACCTAGTCCATTCATAGAAACAATATCTAGTGAGATATATAAAACTTGGGGTGGTGAGGCATTGATTAATTTCAAGTGGAATTCATTTGGCAAATATTATTTTGCAATAATTTGGATGGAATTTGCCATTTTACTTGGTTGCTTTACTACCGCTGCAACACTTTCTGAAGATTATTTAACCGAAGATATCAAGAAAAATCTTTTTATTGCTTCGATTATCCTTGCGTCTATTAATTTAACTTTTATATACCGTCGACAACTATGTAGCCCTGACGAATCGATTTGTAATGTATTTTATTTGTTTGGTATGTTAAAATATTATAATTCTTTATTTTTATCGTAAATGAAGATTTGTAATTGATTCATTATTATTGTATTATATATAGATTTAGCGGCATATATTCTTTCAATTGCTAGTTCTTTTTATTATGAAAATACTTGGTTACTTTCATTGACGTGTCTAATTTTAGATTTAAAATTCTTATTGTTCTTTAGAGTATTTGAACCTTTTGGGATATATTTTACAATCATTATTAGTGTTGCAAAAAAAATTTCTTATTTCTTATTTATTTTGATGATTATAATTATTGGTTTTGCTCATTCCTTTTATATTCTCTTAAGACCAAAACTTAATTATTCGTTAGATAATTATACAAATAACAAGGATCAAAATAATCCTTGGAATCTTGCTTCTTCTTATAATCAATTACTTGAAGATGGATCAATTAGTTCAAATCCATTTATTATTCAAAAACCTAATGAAAATACAAATATGTTTGCTAATTTTGAAACCGCACTTCTTGCAATGTATTTATCTTTAACCGGTATGTTTATTATTTAAAAAGTATTTTAAATTCACCTTTTTTAATTGTATCTAAATAATTTAATTTATTATAGGTGATTTAAACTCTTTTGCAAATTGGACATATAAAGAGAATCCATTTTTTGTTTTATTAATGATTTCATTCTTTTCCGTTGTCGTCGTATACCTTTTGAATTTACTTATCGGTTTGCTTAATAATGCAATTGATGAAGATAACAATAGAGTTTCGTACTTGGTGCATAAAGCGGAGGTTTGTTGTTTTAACTTTTGAATAAACATCATTAAACTGTTTTACAAATATTTAAAATATTTTTAATAGATTTTAAAAGAGATTGAGTTATTTTACTTATTACCATTTCAAAGACGTTGGAAGTCTTGGTTTCCTGATGTAATGTAAGTAATTTCATCCAAGTCGTTGGTCATTTTGTTTCTTTTAAAGTGTTAATTTAATACTGATTTATTAGGTATTATTATGCCGATGTTGACGAAACACGAAGAAAGGTTAATGATTTAATTAAAAAGGGCGAATGGAACCCTAACAAATTAGAATTCTCAGAAATGAAGAGAAATTTATTAAAAAAATTAAATATTAAATATGATCCTGATGATTATACTCAGTTATTATAATAAATCAAATAAGGTTTTTATATAATACAGTTATAGAGAATGATTAATAATGAAATATACAGTAAGTATTTGATATACTCTGGCAAATTTTTCATTGCAAAGATCCTTTATTTTCTTATCCATTCTTAATAAATTGAATTTGTCATCAAATTTCCATTTAAGAAAAAGTTCGATATAATAGATTCATGAGATTCAAATATGATATGTTTGTTTGATAATCGGACCTGTTATGAATTAACTAGTCTTATCTGATGATTATATTCCCAGAATGGCAAAGTTATTCGTGCGAATTCTGTCTGGAAATTTTTCTATAAATACCCTGGCCCGTATCCTTTCAGCACCACGAATAAGACGTTGACGATATATAGTATATATACAACATTTCTTCTTCAGTAGAGTCAAATCGCAAGCGTATAGATGTTTATGTAGCTCGCCTAGTAAGGATTGCTTTAAGCAACAAAGATAATTATATTAATAAAAAAATACTTTTCTTTTGCGAAACGCCTTAAGGCAAGTAAGCATTTATGAAAATAATTCATATTGCTCTCCTTCAATTCAGAATACTAATTCGACTGCTTATTAACATGTTCTCATTTGATTTTATTTCTAATCTGTGAGAAAAATAAGGTTTATGCTAACTTTTTCGTCTTAAGGGTTTGATAATGAGATGTACGGTAATTGTACTCGGAAATTTAGGAGTTTGGATAAATAAATTTTCTCGCATAGCACATCCGCTGTAGAGATCTATGTCACCTATCATTTTTTTTCCTGGGTGATATTAGGTCTTTTATAAAAACGATAACGATAAAGCATTTGATATTATTAAAAACGATGCATGTTTCTTGATTTTACATTAAATTGCTCCAAGGTTAAATTCGCGTTCGCTCAATTAACGCTCCCAGAAATTCGTTTCACAAGATTCTTCATTCAGATGAAAATTCACATATGAAGTATGATATCATTATCATAAATCATCTTCAACGACTTTGTTAATCCCGCGTTTACAATGGAATAAATCATCTCGAGAATGAAGAGTCGGTCTAGATTAAAAAACTTCACATGTAAAATATTAGTGTAATTCATACCATACTTTACATACTTTATTAGGAAATACTATTATCATACTCTTCGTTAACTTTAGAATTAACCGGTTAAGTATAATATTATCAACATCGGGAAGCACATAAATTCCACAATACAAGGAACCAAACCAAATGTAATACCTTTTCATAGAAAAAGAAATATTTATTGATCAAAAAAACAAGTAATTATTTTCTCTTCTGATCCTTATGTATCACCTCTAAAATTAAACAACTTTTTCATTCGCTTCATGAAGTTTATTATAATCATTCTTCGTTGAATATTTAAGAACAGAAATAATATCATTTTTTAAAAAAAGAAAAAAAAAAATGATTTTTTACTTTAATTTTTCTTCTATTGGAAAATTTCTTGCAATTATTTTATCATTATTAGATATTACGACTAAAACAACTAACGCACTTTCAATATTTCGACATCATGATCCTGCACCTGCAACTGAAGCTGTTATTCGTGAATTTAAATTATGGGTACAATATGCCAAGTAAATTAATATTTCTCTTTTTAGTCTTTAACTAAAATAATACGATGAACGGAACTAACTCGATTCTAATGTTAGTGCCGCATACTATGATGTAAAAGGTTGGGAATGTGACGTATGCAAAGGCGATACGGATGGAACTCGATTAATAGAAATTTTTCCATTTTCATCCCAAAGGAATAATGGTTATGTTGCGATTAATGATGAAAAGAAAGCAATTATAGTAGCTTATAGTGGTACAACTGATGACCCATCTTTATTACTGGATTATAAAATTGTTCAGGTTCCATACTCTCCTTCCGTACCGAATGCTATGGTGCATTCAGGTTTTATGATTTTTTATCACGCGACGAAAGAAGGAATTACTTCTTTGACTAAAAATTTGGTCAAAGAATATCCTTCATATAAAGTTATTACTACCGGTCATTCTTTGGGAGGAGTTTTGGCGACGTTTCAAACTTTAGACTTAATCGGTACTCCTGGATTAAACCCTTCTAACCTTTTTACTTATACTTATGGGGAACCAAGGAGTGGTAATAAGGAATTCGCTCAATTTATTATGAATTCCGGTTATAAATTCTTTAGATTAGTAGATAAAGGTGACATTATTCCCCATTTACCTCCTAATTATACTCATTATGGTCCTGAATTTTGGATTAATCCAAAAAATGAAATTGTCGTTTGTCAAAAGGCTGATGATAAAAGGTGTAGTAATTCTATCCTTATTAAAAACCTTGAAGACCATGATATCGATACATATGTTAAAGATTTATCCGCTATGTAAAGAATTTACAATCATATAATACCTTTTAAATAAATATAATTATAGAAATTAATTGTAAAAAATTTAGCGAACGCTTCAATATATCGATTTCTTATATGGTTCGCTTATCCATAAAAATGGGCTTGTTCAATAGAAATGCATCATATAATAAATTATAATTCCCAATTGACAAATCATAGATCCGGCAATAATGAAAGCATAGAAAAATGGTAGTCGGGTTTCTTTTCTGGTTAACACGTGACTTCGGATACTGATTGTCGGCAAAAATTTTTACGATACAATTTATGACCAAATTTTTCTTGGGTAATTTATGACCAAAAATAAATATGATTATATAAAAAAAGGATTTTTTTTTTTTTTTTGATATTTTTATTTGTGTAATATTGAATAGTTTTCACTAACTGCTATCATCCGTAGGAATTGCTTTTCTGCCTGTTAAAAAAATTTTTATTTAAAAAATTTATTATTATTCCTGTATTATTATTAATGTCTTGCCATTAATTTTTTCCAATGATTTATGATTTAAAATTTGGGCAAATATTATTAACCATAAAAGTCTTTTCAGTTTGTTACGTGATTCTTCTAACAGCTCCTTAGTTCTTGAGTGTGATTAGAAACTAATAAAAGATTAAAATGCAATCGGCAAAAATACAATTATTTTTATTGGCCGATCCATAGTCGAAGTAAATCATTATTATGGCAAAACCTGAAATATTTCACCAATACATTTCTTCCAAATTTTAATAACATATGACGACTTAATGATTTTCTACAAGCTCAACTACTATTTTTATTTTCGCAAATTAAAAGGGCGAAATGTTTATGAATTTGAATTATTTACAATTCTCAATTGGGGTCTATTAATGAATATTTTTTCATATGCAATTTTTAGGATTATAAGAATAATTTATGCCTATTAATTTGATGCTTATCATAATTGTAAGCATCCAAATTTATAAAATTTTTCGATTTTCCAATTAAAATTAAAAGAGGAAATCCAGTGCCATCATTTACATCTATAACTAGTAAAACGGAAACCGTTAAAGTCCCGTCGTTATCAAAGAGGCATGTATCCATCAGGTGTTACAAAAAATTATAAAAATAACTTATATATTAATAAAAAAAAAAATTATATATTTAGTATAACGAATTGTTTATAAGAAAAAAAAAGTAGAAAAAGATGATTAACTATTTAATGAATATAATATTTTAAAAAATAATTATATTTGATTTATTGATTTTATAAATAAAATTAATATAATTCTCAAAAATCAGTATTTTGAAATTACAAATTAATTACCATTTTCCTAGACAATGTAAATTATTTTAAAATCATTATAAAATCACATAATAACTTATATAATTTTAATAATAGTAGATAATTAATTAGCATTATGAATTATGCTATACTTTTTATAAATATTTATGATGAAATATTATTAAATATTAAAGTTACTCTAAAATTATTACAAAAAAAAAAAAAATTATATATCATATTAATAAAATCTGATAAATTAAATAATTAAAATATATTACAAAATTACATATAATTTATGTATTTATATTATTAGTTTAAATAACTATTATATAATATTATTAAAATAATTACTAGAAAAACAAAAATTGTTAAGATTATTATTCATTATATATATTAAAAAAAACTATTAAAAATAAAAATAAAAATAATATTTATAGAATGATATTTATAAAATAAATAAATTTAATAATAAATACAATTAATTTGTCTTTATTTTATTTTAATTAATTAATAAAAAATAAGAGCAATAACCTAAATATATATTAATCATCTTAAATATAATATAAATTATTTAATATTAATAAATAAAATATTATCAATTAAAATTGACTTATTATTCTAAAAAATTTAATATATAGAATAATTGCTAAAAAAAATCAAATTTTGAAATTTTTAATTAAAATTAATATTTATTACATTTTATTTTTAATATTTAAAAATTTTAATTTTATTTAAATGCTTAAAATCTAACTTTTATAATAATTAATATTTTATATATTATTGATATAAATTTGATTAAAAAAAGTTTAATGATTCATATAACAATTACTATTATTTTAAATGGTATAAAAAATATAAAATATAAATAATAAATTTGTTTTTATTATAAAAAATTATTTTAAATTAATAATTTAATTTTTATTATAATTATATTTAAAATTAAAGGTATAATAAAAGAATATTAAAATATAATTATAATAAGATTTTAACAGACTTTAAACATATAAAAATTATCTATTAAGCTTAAAAAAATTTAAATTATAGCAAATAAAATTCATAAAAAAAATAGTATATTTAGAATTTTATGTATTTTTTAAAATAAAAAATTTGCTTATAAGTATATTAAAAATATATCTTTTTATATTATTATACAGTTAACTCTTGTTATAATGAATTCTATGTCCTAGACCTCAACTTTGCTATAAGGCTATAGTGAAGATTTTAAGAGATTTGATTAGCCAATTCGCTATAACAAGAGTATTTTTATTATATTTGTTCAAAATATTTGTTATATCAAAAGTTCGCTATATTAAGAGTTAACTGTACTTATAAAATATTAGTTATCATAAAATATTTATTTATATTGTAAAATTACTAAAGATAAAATAAAATAATAATAAAATAAATAAAAAAAAACCTATTTTCTATCTTAATTAGATGATTTTATTATACATTTTTTTTATTTTTATGATTATAATTATTATTATTAATTTTATTTATAATATATTAAAAAATTATTATAATTATATAAAAATTTATATAATTATTTATATAATAAAATTATATTATATATAAAATTAATATTAAATTATTTTAAATTTTTTTATAATAATAATTAATAAAAATAATATATATAAATATTAAATATAAACTATTATTTTAAATTACTAATAATTTTATTATTATTATATATTTATATATATATTATTAATCAAGTTATAATTATATTAAATAAATATATATATTGTTACTCAACCTTCAATTAGACAGAATATTAAATTTAAATATATTTAATTTAATAATGATATTAAGTATATAAAAATAAAATTAATTAATTTTTAACAGTTTTTTTTTTTATTACACAATTCTTATAGATTTAATTTATAATATATAATTATGATAGATTATATAATATAAATTAAAACTATTTTATTTACTTTTAATTAATATTAATAGTTTTTATAAAACAATTTAATAAAAACAGTATAATAGATTTAAATAGATATTTTAAAATTTAAATATATATAGAAAGATAAATTTTATTAAAAAATTCTCAGAATCTAATTTTTCTAGCAAATTTTCTATATGCTAAATAATAATGTTATCCAAAAATTTTGAAGAAAATTTAAATTATATGAATAAATCATATAATAAATTTATGATAAAATTAATAAATTTCAAAATTTAAAATTAATTAATCATTTTAAAATAAATGAAAATTAGCTTTAATTAGTATCATTAATGTTGAATATTAATTAAAATTCTCATTTGTAATTCACTTTTATTATAAATTTTACTATTATAATCATAAATCAAAATACTTTTATTGCTTCTTATACTTATAAATAGTTTATGATGTTTGTAATACTTTAAAGAAAAATAGCAAGTATAGATTCAAGAGGCAGAAAATGATAACATTTGCATTAAATAAGATATTACATAAATCAATTATAATAAATACATTTAATAAAATTTTAATTTTAGTTAACATATTATATAAGACAAACCCAAGACTTTATACTTTTAATCTATAAATTAAAGTTGTCTTTAAAATAATGGTGTTTCGAAAACTTAATATCACGATATCAAGGCCCAAATTTTGTTTATGTTACACTTGATCTGACCAATTAAAGTAAAACAGAAAAATACCTAAAATGAATAATGGTTCGTGATCACTTTCTATTTCCCGATATCGAAAAATGATTAAAATGTAAATTAATCCTAAAATGGAAACAATTGCACTAAAAAATTTTGAACGTTTTAGACCTTTTGAAGAAATAGAAAGTCTCATGATATTCGACCGTTAGTTTTTATAAATTCTCTCACCAAAGTATTATAGAAACCAACATGTATGAAGAAAATGGTGATGATGATGGGTCGATTATTGAAGATACATTTGGAATACAGGAATCCGCTTCGTCAAATGGTGTTGATCAAGAAATTGAAATAACTTCCGAAGAACAACTTGTAACTCCAAGCGAAGAAAGTGAAGAAGATGGTTTTGTTCAACAAACATCATCAGAAATGAAGACTAAAAAGGGATCCGATGATTTAGACTTGAAAGAACTTCAAAAAGAAGAACGGAAGCATCGAAAAATAAGAAATGAATTAATTCAACAGAATAGTGACATATTTACATTTGCACGATCATGTCCAAATTGTAAAAAAAGCTTTAATTCACCATTAGTTATCAAGAAAGTTAGACATTTTAAAATTTGTTGCAACTCTAATAATCGTTGGATAGATGATGTGGTTTTAGGAAGGATGATTGAAGATTTGAGGTTCAGATTGAAACCAATGGAAAAACATAAACAAGAAGCAATTGATTATAATATTGAGATGCCGGAAGATTTAAGAACGAACGAGATTTATCATTATTTTCCCGTAACATCAAATAATAACAAAAATGTTGCGAATAGTAGTAAAGTAAAGAGAAAAGGAAAGAATGGGGAAGATTCTCATGAACTTCCGTCGAAAAATCATCAATCTTTAAAGAAAAAACCAAAAATGAAAAAGGTTAAAGCGAAAACTGATGATGCCACCAAAGAATAATTACTTTTTTGTTTGATAAAAATATATCACGAATTTGTTATTTTAGTCCTTACAGGTTTTAAATTCCTGCTTTGTGAATAGATTCAATCAAGACGTAAATTTTTATTAAAAGAATAATTTCGGGTATTTAAATATATTTTATTTTATTGAGAATAAAAATCAAAAAAAAAAAAAAATTATAAATAGTCAATAAATAACGAAGGAAAAAAAATCTCATAATTAAGGTAAGTTATTAATTCAATAAATTCTTTCATTGTATTAACATTACAATATTATGTTGATTTACTAAATTCATTTTTTTCTTACAAAGAATATCAATTATACAGAATAATTAAACTATCGAAATCGAATTTACAAGTGTCACAAGAGAAATCAATGATAATCTTAACATACAATATACAATATATATACGAAAGTAAATTCAATATGGACATACAGCAAAGCAATCTTCATAAAAAAGGATATTGAATACGAAACTCTGTTTTTTTTTTTTTTTAAAAAAAAAAATAACATTAGAATTGATTTGAAAATTATATTTGGAATATTTAATTATGATAATGATGGAAGGGTTATAAATATTGATCTTTAATAATAAAAGAATGAAAGATTTTAATCATTAAGTAAATATAAAATAAAATCAGAACAAATGTTAAGCAACCTTCAAGATACCCTACCGAACATTTAAACGATTCACCTTAAAGGTATAACCAAATGCTATCCAAACATCTTTAATTATCTTGTTTCCTCAAGAATTATATAATTCAATTTAACCCAAGATAATTATAAAATTTCGAATTAACTGCAATACATCCGTTCATTTCCGGTTTTCAAGTGTATTGGAAGTTCTCCCTAGATTATCATATATCATTCCTCAATATCAAAAGGAATCCTGCTTCCACCATTTTTCTCACACATAATTCACCTGCATAAAGATGCGCTTTCCTCTAAGAATATACTTTCGTGTGCATATGTACCGTGTCAAATGATCTTTTGATATTTAAATGCATATAAATAAAGATGCAATTAATACTTGTGTAAAATGGCATGTAAAGGAAGAAGAATAATAATAATCATAATAATAGGATTTAAGTAAGGAAAAAGCCGTAAAATGGTTAAACATATTTATATATCTTTCACATACGAATAATAAATTTATTAAATAATAAATAAATTCTATACAGTATATAATACAATAAGTTAACGAATAAGTTAACGAATAAGATTTATAAAGATGTTGAACAAGGTTTATTTTATCAGATATATAAAGAATGAAATGAAAGTATATACGTACTAAATTAATAAATGACAAAATGTAATATAATAAATTACATCATAAAATATGATACAAGAAATTTCTAAAAGAGTGACTAATGAGAATTAATATATATATAGAAAACGTAAAAAAATGAATGAATGAATGAATGAATTATTAATCAACTTTTACGCCATTTACAAATATTCCGTCATATTCAATCATTTGCAACACACCACCAGCATCTTCCATTGAAACGATAGAATCCGGTATATCCCATGAATAAACATTGAAAAAATCATCGGGATCGGGATCAGGAAAACTTTCATAAGTTAACGCAGGTGTTCCACCATTATTATCGTTCCTTATTAAATTAGAATCGTTTGAACCAGACCGATGTTTTGACCTTCGTTTTAACATATTCGATAAAGCTTGCGCTGTCATCGAAATACTTTCACTCCTCGAACGTCGATTTTTCTTTTTTTTTTCAATAACTGTTGTTGTTGATGATGATGTGTAAGAAAACTGACTAACGACCGGTGGTGATAACGAAGGTGTCGTGATCAACGTAATAATTGGCGGTTTATCATTTTCTTTTCTCGATGTATCACCTCGTAATGAACGTATAAAATTCTTTGGTAATGATTTTGCTGCTGCTGCGATAACATTCGTCTTTTGCGTCTTTGTGGTGGATGATGACATTGTCTTCGCAATATTACGCATTAATACGGGAGCTTCTTGATTATCATTATCATCAGCTGTATATTCGTTTTTAATAACGTTATCTTTGGATGTTTCCAAATGTTCAAGTTGATCATTTGCTTCCATTAAATTCTCTTTATTAGATGATTTTTCTTGTACAATCGAAGAAGGATCGGTTTCAATATCATCGAAGCTATTAGTCGAATTCGATAAAAATGAAGGTTTCCTTGCTGTATATGAAGATGATGGTCTAGGTAACCTTGGAAGTTTCGTGTTAACTTTTAAAATAACTCGTTTCACTGTGCTCTGTTTAATTTCCGTCATTGCTGGTTGAGTTATTGTCAATTTTGGAGTTTTCATATTTCCATGAAACGTTTAAACTACCAGTAGTACTGTTTGGGTTTGTTGGAGTAGGTTTTAGAAACTCGAGAAGGTTAATGTAGGTTGTCGAATTTAATGGTTGGCTTATGACTATAAATGTTAAAAAGTTAGCTTAAAAGGGAAAAAAAAAAAAAATCTCTATATAACTATAACTCATTGAACTCACTTTTTATATTTTTTTAAAAAACTATCAAATTGATAAACGGGTTTTGTTTCCAATTAAGTAATAACAAACGAGAAAATCAGTATATATGTACGTAATTTTCCTTTTTAATCGGTAAGTTGGTTACCGAGTAATGAAGAAAGGAAAAAAGAAACAGCCACTTAAAGCGAGAGGATGAAAAAAAAAAATTGTTTGGTTTTAAGATAAAATCATTTCTACTAAATTAAGTTCATTATTTTTGAAAAAGGAATATTCCATGTTTATCTTCACTTGTGTCTTGTGATTATGTTTTGATTTATAAAGCATTTTTACCTTATTAAGGTTGAAGGAATCATCTACGAAAACCAAATTAGATTTCTCCTTGGCTCTTTTTTTTACTGCTGTAGCATTTATCTCGGAATATAGATCACCGATGATCGTCTTGGAAGTTGAATGATTCTCATTACAAGATGGAAAGTAAAAATGTATTCGTCTCTGCAAGAGGATAAACGTGACATGTCATGATTTGCTCAATTTAGTTAGAAAGATTTATCGTGAAACCATAAACATTTAAAATACCGTATAATATTCTTTTTATCTCGTTTAAAACTTTTTTTTTTTTTTTTTTTTTCAAGTCATACAAAATTGAGGTTCTAAAGGAAAATAAAGTATAAAAGGTTTTTCTTTCTTTTCTTGCTAACGAATTAAAAATTTTCAAACTGGCACCTTTAGCTCCGTCTCCAACACTGGCTCCAGCACCAATTTTTACTTTTACTACCTCTACTGCATTCTCTACTTCGCCAACTGCTACCTCTTCGACTAGTGCTTCCTCTTCAACTTCCTCACCCTCTACACGATGGGTGCGAAGGCTGCACCATCGACAAAGAAACCATAGAGAGAGGAACCTGCTGTTTAGTCGGATGATACATGCTGCAGGAGGCGGTGGAAATAATAATAGTGATAGTAACAACATTATTAGTAACGGCAGCAACATTAATGGAAATAATTCTTCAACAATACCTTCAACAGTGCCCTCATCGACTATATCAACCTCTTCCTCTTCACCTAATATACAATCTCAAGACGATGATGATCTCCAAAGCATGCATCACCATTTTCGTAGCAAGACAGTTTGTAAATTAAATTGTGCGCACTGTAACAATAGTGTGTGCGTGAGAGGAATGAAGGTAGGTACTCATGGTGTGGCAATGGGAAAGGTGAAAAGATAAAAAAATATATATCTTAAGGAATAAGGTCGTCAATGAGTTTTTTTTGGTTGGATGTAGCTATATAAAATCTGGCCGAAATTTGAAAGTGGGTGGGTGAATTCACACATAGTATGTTCAGGTAAAGAAGAATATGATTCAAAAAAAAAAGAAAATAAGAAAAAAAAACCCCCCAAGTATTATTGAATTATTTAACTATTATCAATCACTTTTCCTTTATTTTTATTACAGGCCATGTTATTGGCTGATACAAGAATTGAACTTTATTCCACTGACGTACCGCCATTATCGTGCGTGTCGTTGATTATTTATGATCTTTTCCGATTTATATCTTAGAAACATGACTAATAGTTTTTAATTTTTTAATCAAAAGGGTACAATTGGTTGGTGATGATTATATGACACAAAATTGTCAATGTAAAATTCGGGATGTGGCATGCCTAACATGGTAATATAATATATTATTTTCTAAAAAAATAGTTATATATACATATATTACTTCAATCATAATAAAACATTTTTATTGATAATTTAATTAGTGGGAATGTTCTAGGATATCATATTACTCAGCCATGCCAACAGTGTATGGAAGCTTGCAACAATGGTCATCTTTGGATGTTTCACACAGAGTCTGTTACGAGCGAAGAGAGATTAGACCCCGAAGGTATTGTTATTTGTATTGCTTCTTTTTAAGCGACTAAACCGGTTATATTTTTAAATGATCATTCTGTCCTTAAAATTTTCTCTCCCCTCTTTTCAGGGAAAAAGATTCTTTTATGGGCACAATTACCTCGAGCTGAAAAAGATATCGAAATAGTTGATACGGAAGACGAATATGAACAATGTTGTCGATAAATGAACCGCTTAAAAAAAAATAAAATAAAAAATAAAAAAAAAAAATGTTTAGAAAGATGGATCTTTAATTTGAATGACAATCAATTTGAAGGTCAATTCCAAAAAAAAAAAAAAAAAAAAAAAAATTGGTTTGTATGATTGTAGTTTATTTTTTTTTTTCTGTATTGGTCTTCGAATATTTGTATATTTTTTTTTTGTACTTTCAAATTTTAGACTCTTTATTTCTCATGTGTTATAATTGTTATATTAAAAAAAATAGTTGGTCACTAGAAAATGTGATTATTTAAATCCTGGAAATTTGTTTTTTTCGCAAGATGGTTCAAAAATTTTTTCTAATTAATAAAGATTTGCCGATCAAGTAGATATAATATATATAAATGCATAATCGTGCACGTGTTTGAAATTTTTAAACAGATGGATTAAAAAAACTTTTTTTTTTTTTAAAAAAAAAAAAATGAATACCAGTAGAAAACGTGAACATGAAAAGGATGTAGATGAATTAGAACAAAGTAAAAAGAATTTAAAAATAGCTAATAATAAAGGAATTCATAAAAAAAAAGATAAATCTAAAACGAATAATTATAAGCAAATTCCTCAAAAGAAAAATGATAATAAGCAACCGTCTAAAAAGTTGGATAGTTTTAGTAATAGGAAAATTCCTCAAGAGAAACCAGATAATAATGATGATTCTTTTAAAAAGAATTCAAAAAGAAATATAACTGATTCGAATTTGATCGAATTCCGAAAAGAGTTACCAATTTGGCAAGGTAAGTTTATTATCCAAGAATGAGTTTCTTTTTTTATAAAAAAAAAAAAAAATCATTTTGTTTTCCTCTTGTAACATTTTTTTTTTTTTTAAATTAGAGCGGAGTAATTTGGTACAAGCACTAATAGAAAATGATACTATTATTATTATGGGAGAAATGGGTAGCGGAAAAAGCACTCGTACGTATATGAATTAAATAATTTATATATATGAATTGATCGGGAAAAAATAATTATTTAAATTTTCTATAGAAACACCACAATTTCTGGTTGAAGCTGGTTTGGTTACATTAAAAAAAGGAATTATTGCTATATCTCAACCAAGACGTGTTGCCGCCATAAGTTTAGCCAGTAGGGTATCACAGGAATTTGGTACAAAATTAGGACAAAAGGTTTGCACTTTTGTTATTTGTTCGGATAATGAATTACGCAATGTTATTTAACGTGAGTTTTCTTGATTTGAAGGTTGGATATTCGGTACGATTTGATGATAAAACATCGCATTCTACTTTAATGAAATACTTGACGGATGGAATGTTATTAAGAGAATTATTATCAGATCCATTATTATTAAAATATTCAAAAGTAATATTAGATGAAGCACATGAAAGGACAATGCGTACAGATATTCTTTTTGCCATGGTTAAAAAGGCTCAAGAAACTAGGAAAAATTCATTCAACCAAAAAGACAAAAAGTATGAGCCATTAAAAATCATTATTATGAGTGCTACACTTGATGCTACGAGGTTTGCTAAATATTTCAACACGTGGGTAGAAAAATTAATTATTTATTATCATCATTTTTGTTGTTTTTAGCACTTCATTTGTTAAATTTAATTTAGATATCTATATGTTAATTGCTAGTACAGTTCTATTATATTGAAGATTCCTGGAAGACAATTTCCTGTTACGATTAATTATGCTTCAGAACCACAATCAGATTATTTGGATGCTGCTTTAACGACCACAATGCAAATTCACATGGATCAGCCTAAGGGTGATATCTTAGTATTTTTACCTGGTATCCAAAGATTTCTTTACAGTTCTTTTATAATGTCACATGTTTTATTTATCCTGAACAACGAATACTACCTTGAACTTATTTAGGTCAAGAAGATATTGAAATTCTTGAAAAATTGATTAATGATTATGGTACTTCGCTTCCCCCGGATAAATTAAAGGTAACGATCAAATTGTTGTTAAATTCGAAAATATAATGTTTGATCCAAATTATTCTTTTTTTTTCCGGAATATAGGTTATTACGTGTTTGCTTTTTGCTGCTTTACCTACAGAACAGCAGACCAAGGTATTTAATTTCGCACCACCTGGAACACGTAAAATAATACTTGCAACAAATATAGCAGAAACCTCAATTACGATTAGAGGCGTTCGTTATGTCGTTGATACCGGAAAATGCAAAATACGTAAATTTAATGCCAAAATTGGTATGGAAAGTTTATCGATAGAGAATGTTTCAAAAAATTCAGCCGATCAAAGGTTGGGAAGAGCTGGTCGTGAGGTATTATTAAATCTTTTTTTTTTTACAGAGAATTTATGAAATGTATCACTATAATGAATTTATTGACAATAATATTTACGTTTAGGCACCAGGAATTTGTTATCGCCTTTTTACTGAAGATGAATATAATAAAATGGAAAGAAACACCGAACCTGAGATCAAGAGATGTAACCTTTCATCTGTTATCTTGTTGTTAAAAGCATTAGATATAGATGATGTATTAGGATTTGATTATATGGATCCACCGTCAAGAACTTTATGTACGTATTATTATGACTATTTCTTTTTTTTTTTTAAAAAAAAAAAAAATAGATTTTGCTTACTGAAAATTTTATATTGTAGTAAAAAAGGCTTTGGAACATTTATACATTCTTAAAGCTCTTAATAATCAAGGAAAAATAACAGAGCTTGGTAAAAAGATGGCAGAATTCCCGCTTGAACCATCTTACGCAAGAGTTCTTATAGCATCACAGGTAATTTATTAAAAGAAATTTGTGTAATTTTTTTAAAAAAAAAATAAAAATTGCCATGTTTATACTTGTAATTTGATGAATATAGGAACTGTCATGTACACGTGAAGCAATCGAGATCGTTTCATTACTTTCAGTTGATTCAATATTTTTTTCACCACAAGATCAAAGAGAATACGCAAGTGATGCGAAAAAGAAATTTATGTCACCATTCGGAGATTTAATTACATTTCTTAATGTATTGAGATCATACGAAGCACAAAAAGGAAATTCTGAATGGTGTTACCAAAATTTTATTAATAGGCGTAACATGAAACACGTCATTGTAAGTGTTAAAGTAATGTTTTTTCAAAATATTCGATAATTGATAAATGGCTTACATTTTATTTATAATAAAGGACGTGAGAAAACAGTTAATTCAATTATGCACAAGAATGGGGATACCAACTAATAGCTCTTGCGGAAACGAATATGAAATAGTTTTAAAATGTATGTTATGTGGATTTTTTCGTAATTCTGCTATATTACAACCTACAAACAATTACAGGACCGTTTTTAGTAATCAGGTAATTACGGATAAAATTTTTTTTTCTTTTTTTGCAATGTTTTAATGACATTTGTATTGATATTTATAGAGCGTGAATATACATCCATCTTCTACCTTATTTAATAAAAAATTGGAAGCAGTCATGTATACTGAATTGGTAAGAATTTCTTTATTTTTGGGAGGGTATTTTCAATTTAAATTATAATTATAATAATATCTCTCGCTCTCTTAGGTGTTGACTACGAGACCTTATATGAAAAACGTATCTGCAATTCAAAGTAATTGGCTATATGATACCGCACCAAATATTCAACAATAAGATTCAATATCTAATAAAAGTACACTCCAAATGCCAATACCACACATAAAATTGTTTCCTAGTGAAATTCGAATTTAAAATAGAGATTAGTCTTAATCAAAAAAAAAAAAAATTATAATATCGTCATTATTCATCATACATACATTGCTATTCTTAAATATTTCTTGTGCATAACCATCAGAACTCGAATCCCATAAACCATTCACTTGTATACTATATATATATAATTGAATCGAATAAATTTCTCTTTTTTATAAATAAATAAATTATTCAATGATCCTTACCGAGCACCAGCTCCTTTTTTATTTTCTAATATTGTTACATTGATAATATACTTGTACCTGCTAAGTTCCATTTCTATAGTATTGATAATCGTTAATGTCTTTTCTAATTATTATTTAGCCTTATCAAAGATTTAACTTACCCAATAATTTAGCTTTAATTTCTTCAGCAATCTCATTAGCCCAACCTGGTGCTTGATCCTTTTCATATATAGCTTGATCTAATTTCCCTGAAACAACTTGTTGAATAATTTGTTTCGCCTTTTTTGCATGAAACCTTTTTGTTATAATTATAAAAATTTAGGGTGTCATGTTTAATAATAATTATTAAAGAATGACTCAAAAGGAAGAGAGTTACTTTTCTTTATAAGATGGCCTTCTAAATGTATCGCTTTCTGAACCGCGACGTTCAAAATCTTGTGAAAGATCTGGAATATCTCCGAAATTCATTTTTGTAATTAAAAATAAATAAAATTTTTTTATATGAACTTTATATAATAAACTTTGAGACGATCATTACTTCAAGTTTAAGTATTTTCACACGCTAATCGTCCGTGCCCATTATAAGTGTCACGTAACTTGTGTATATGATGCAAAGATTGTACTTTAGAAACTATTAATCTCTCTCCCTTTTTCTCTCGAATTTTTTTTTCTTTTTTCTTTTTTTTTTTTTTAAAAAAATTATACTTCTTTTACAGTATTGTAATTGATGTTCTTAAAATTAAAATATTAGGAACTTTTTTTTCATTATTTCTATTTTTTCCTTTCAAAAGATGCCTATCGCAAAAATTTCACCTTCTATGTTATCCAGCGATTTTGCTTCACTTTCAGCTGAAGCCAATCGTATGGTCAAAAATGGTGCCGATTGGTTGCATATGGGTATGGCTTGGATCTTTTTTTTTTTTTTTTTTTTTGATATCCTAATTCATTAATATCTTTATCAATGTTATTCTTTTTAATTGTTTTCTCCTTGATTCGTTTCAGACGTTATGGATGGGTAAGAGACTTAATAAATTCGATTTTTTTTCTTTTTTAATCAATTCTCTATTTAATCAAAACTTTTCCATTAATGTTTTTTGTAGACATTTCGTTCCTAATATAACAATTGGAGCCCCCGTGATTCAATCCTTACGAAAACATACTGATGCATTCTTGGGCAAGTTAATCAATTTCAATTCTCGATTATTAATAAAAAATTTGTTGTTCTAAATTTGATGTTGTATTAGATTGCCATTTGATGGTATCAAATCCAGAACAGGTATTTAAAATCTTTTTTCCTTTATTCAATTCATCAAATAATTAAAAAATTTTTCAATTACAATATATAAATTTAGTGGGTAGATGACTTTGCGAAAGCGGGAGCTTCAATGTATTGTTTTCACATAGAAGCAACAAATGAACCTGAAGCTTTAATTGAAAAGATTAAGAAAGCAGGAATGAAAGTTGGAGTAGCTGTTAAACCAAAGACTCCAATAGACACTGTTTATTCTTTGGTTGACAAAATTGACATGTGTTTAGTAATGACCGTTGAACCAGGTTTTGGAGGTCAAAAATTTATGTCCGATTGCATGCCAAAGGTATATAAATTTAAATATATATATATTTGAAATTTGAAAGATTGATTACATTAATACTTTATGAATTAATTAGGTAAAAGAATTAAGAGAAAAATTCCCTGAACTTGATATTGAAGTAGATGGTGGACTTGCTCTTGATACAATAGATCAAGCTGTTCAAGCAGGTGCAAACGTCATCGTAGCCGGAACTTCAGTATTTAAAGCTGAAAATCCTAAAGACGTTATCTCAACTTTTAGGGAAAAAGTTAATACAGTACAAAAATCATAAATCAATTTGAATATATCTTATGTGAATTATTTATAAATTTTGCTAATTAAGGAAAAAATATATATATATAATTTATTTTTTAATTTTGATAAATGATCTATCTTATTTTAAGTCGAGAAATTTAATAAAATCTTAAAATATTTCGATTATGAATTCGTCGATTTATCTTCTGTTGCAAATCCTTGAGTGAGTTTAGTTTCGGTCCTGTTATTATCACTAACTAATCGTGAATTATTATCAGATGGATTATTCAAATAATTTGATCCGAAAATACGTGGTTGATGTACATTAGCATTTCCCAAATTAAGAATGTCGGAACTAAGAAAAGAGGTCATTCCAAATTGATTATTTGGATCCACACTAGTATTTACATCAGGTAAATTTCCCCAATCCTCATCCTCAATTACTTTTGGTGGTTGATTCCAACCTATCATTGCTGTAAAATCTTTACTTTCATATTGATGTTGCCAAGCATTGATATCCACCGCGATCGTGTTAATGGAGGGAATATTAACATTTCCTTGATCTATAGGTGTTGTCGAGTGAAGAATATCTTTACCAAACATTTGATGAGTAGTGGATGGATTTAAAGGAGTTGACTGATTTTCTGCACTATTATTGTTAACATCTGCAGTTAATTTTGAAAATTGCTCGACAAATATTTCGTCTTCTGTTTTAACATTAAATTTATTTAAATCATTTATTAATTTATCCATTTTGTGAAATAAACGGATGCGAAAAAAAGTGTTAAAAATTTTAGTGGTGGGGGGATTTATGAAAGGGTTTATCCGGATTAACCGCAGTAACAAATTTGATTGGGATTCGGGTGAAATTGTGGCTTTTAATTTATTTACTTTATCGGATTACTGTTTTATAAAAACCTGTATAAAAGTATCATCATTTTTGAGCAATAATTTTTTTATTATTGTCAAATAATTAATATTAATTATACGAGAAATAAATTGCTAGTCAAAATTAAACCGTAGACCAAGAATTTTTCATCCATAAAGAGAATTAACAATTGAAACTATTAGGATTTGATTATAACATACCAGTCATTACGATTGTCACCTAAAAACCTCCTTTTGAAGTGAGTCGAAAAATTTGCATGTCAGTAATTTATTACAACTGTTTTCATAAGTTGTGGAATTTTTTGATTCGAGTAGTTGCTTGGGTTGTTGGATTGTCGAGCTGTTGGTTAATTAAAAATAACAATAAAAACGTACTACCCGATTCTAATGCATTAAAAAATGATGTTTCTCCAGGATAAGGTTGCTAAAAAAAATCGCGCGTGATTTTCACGATTTATCGTGAAAAATCTTTCAGCTGATATTAATCAAATTTATTATAGCAAAATTATTATATAATCAACTATCCGAAAAAATCAAATTAACCTATTAATTTATAAATCGTAATCAATTTTACCACTTACAAAAGCATTTGCTTCCATTTTTTAAGTGTCACGTTTTTATCCGATAAAATGATCTATGTTCAACATGATAATACATCAAGTTCTGGTAATAAATGTTGTTTTACTTCATCAATATACATATAAATCTACTCAGCTAATTCATTGAGATCACAATATTTGATCCATTTTATTATGATAAAGCTGGTTGGTTTTCACTGTGTTGATAAACCGACTGAAAAAAATAATGCAATAAATGCTTATCTATCACAATTTCTTTTAAACAAAATTTTTGTTCTATTCATTTAAAATAGAAGGAATCCTTTTTTCCTGATAAAATAAAAACTTGAAAACTAACTATTAAATAAACAAATGAAATTATAAAAATTCCAAATCATTAAACCAACCTAATTAAAAAAATTCATTAAATTATTAATAAAATTATTAATTTTTCTTACCTACAATTATGTATGATCTTAATTTTAACCAAATATATCAAGTTATCAATTTGCTTTTGAATCATGATTAATATTACATTCTATATTAATAAATATATTTAAATAAGAATATAATCGTTTGATTTTATAATAAATATTCTTTTCAATAAAATATTCTTTTTAAGTTATTAATTATAATTTTCTTACTAAGATAAATTCAGATTTAACTTTAATTTAAAAAAATTTTTAAGTTATTTTACTTAATATTAAAATTACATTGTATTTTTTAGTCAACTTATGCTAAATGATTCAGATAAGAAAGTATTACAAATGGTTATGAAAACATTTGCATATACATGTGTTTTGCTTATAATTTTAAAAGATCATTCTTTGTATAGTAAGGTTTTTATTAAGATAAATCTAACTTGTGATCTACTAATTGAACAGGTATATTCAGGATTAAGAAATTAGTACAGTTAGTACAGCTTAGTACAGTTTAGTACAGTTAGTACACATAATAATTAATATAAAATTTAGTA